GCTTCGTGTACATTATCCAAGAACTATTTCTATAGTTAAGATTTAATTATAATAATATTTATTATGCATTAGCAGATATTTTATCGAAAGTCGAATAAAATTAACTTGATTGCCTTCGGAGGTTATCATTCAAATAACAAATATTGGATATGTACGAGGGGGACGTTCAAAAAATGTATATTTTTATTCGTTTCGTCAAAAAAAAATTCAAAAAATCTATTGGGTGCTGTTTTTTGTGCAAGAACTTATCTACTGGCCCGTGCGAACACGCCTGAAATTACTGCAATTACCCCAAAAAACAATTACACATTCTAAGTATCATAGCTGGGAGTGATATTAGCCAAAGGAGTAGTTGTTTTTCTGAAGGGAAACGGTCGTTGTATTTTATGTGATATTCGGCTTTGAGCTAAATTCATTTTATTTCATTTTGCTACTATTACATTTGAGTTTTGATATTTTATTATCGTTTACAAATTGCCCGCCTGGTCTTTTTGGTTCCACCTAGTTTTCAAACTGGGTACCATAGCGCATTTTGATTTTGCTTACTAAGAACAGATGGCGACACCATTTTCACTACTTGAATTTTATTCTCTCCGTAACCAACTTTATGGTATACTGGTGAAATGTGTAGCATTTGTTAATTCAATTAGAGACTGGAATTGAGAACCTATCTATTTCTTGCTGAGGAGTCCTAATAAGGACGAAACCGGTCCAAGAATGATGTTCTCCTTGGTGAGCAAAATCAAAGTAGAGAGTGTTGAAAATTAATTTCTATCTCTGCTGTTTTTCCTTCGGATGTAATTCAATGCCTGTTGTGGTATTAGCCAAAGGAGTAGTTGTTTTTCTGAAGGGAAACGGTCGTTGTATTTTATGTGATATTCGGCTTTGAGCTAAATTCATTTTATTTCATTTTGCTACTATTACATTTGAGTTTTGATATTTTATTATCGTTTATATCAGAAAATGTTTAATCTCCGCCAAAGATAAAATCATAAAATCAGAATTTAATGAACGTCTAATGAGCTTCATTACCAAAACAATGTCAGCAGTGACAATCCCAGCTTCATTCAGTTATTTGAAGGTTTTTGAATTAATGTTATGTCACGAAAAACGGCAATGAACCATCTCAAGTATGCTTCAATCAATGTGCTGCTCAATATTAAACAACAACTTAAGGATGTAGAATATGTATGTACTGCGGCTATTGCCAAGCAAAACAGGAAGCTTTCTAGATGTGACATCTCACTGGATTGATCCCAATTTCGAAAGAAAATCGGCTGCATTGGCCTGTCGCAAAATTAAAGAAGCACATACTTATGATCGAATCACAGATTTACTAGAGAATATCCATCTAAGTTTTGAATTAGAGAGAGACAAGTAAGTTGCTACAGTTACTGATAACGGCTCGAACTTTATTCAAGCTTTTAAGGAATTCGGCGTTACTGGCGCTAAAATACAGAATCTTGAATTTGATATGGCGGAAGACTCGGATGAAAAAGATGATGATCTACACGAAGGTGACGAGATTCAAATTAAAGAAATTAAACAAAGAGAATTCCAGTTGTACTACCAAAGAATACCTACCCAAGAAGCGAAACTGAATGAGTTTTCGCATGTACCAAAGCAAGGAAACTTAATACATTGGGAAACGTATAAAAATTGATCAGTTTTTTTCGTTTGGTTCATAAGAATTAAAACACATACTAAAGTAACATATGACAGACAGAAAGTTTTTACAATATTTATTATGTCAAATAGATTAGTTTAATAACAAAATAAGTACTGTAGGTACAATAATGACGTCACTACACAATAGTGAAAGCAGATGACCTGGTCATTCTGCAAATAGGGTTTTGAGAGCAATTATGGAACAGTGGTGCAAGGACCATTTACTGCCTATCAATCTCAAGAAGACAGTAATAATTCTTTTCACAAGGAAAAGGATGAAAATGGAATTAAAACCTACTGAAACACAAAACAAAACTTTGCAACAGAGGTAAAGTACTTCAGCTCTGTTGCAAGGTAACACCTTTGACAATAAATTAACATGGAACTCACACTTACAAAAGAGAGTCAAAAGAGCATACATTACTTATGAACAATGCCACCGAACAGTGGGGCGCCCCTGGGGTCTTACATAGCCATCATAAGACCCTTGCTAACATACGTTACATATCCAGCAGTACTGTAGGCATTTCGATTGCATCCTGATAGCAGCGACTTGGTTCATCGAAGTGAGTGTCATATATTTTAATTATTGTTTTGTATTATTGTTTATTTACTGTTTTAATTCGAATGGTTTGAAAAACAAAAAATAACATATTTAAATAAAAGACTAAGGGCCAGTTTTTCAATAACAGTTTAAACTTTCGTTCACCTGAACTTGGATCAAATACAGAAGTGAGATTAACATCAATGGCGTTTTTCAATCATGTCAATATCACAGTTCAGGTGATCCAAGTTTAATTTATATTGGTAGTTCTGAATCGAGGGACTTTTGACAAAACTGAATGGTATATGTCAGTATGACGTTTAAATTTAAAAAATATTTAATAAAAGTGAAGATGAAAAATTGTACCAAATGAAAAAAAATTGACGGACCATTTTTTGAGCAACGAAGAAGAATTGTTGCTAAATTTTGCTTGCTGCACTGTAGAGAAGCAGCCGGTGGATTAAAAAAGATTCCGATGCAAAAAATCGTATAGTTAACAGAAACATGACTTTAGCAGTTAAAGCATTATTTATAGAATAAAAAATAGGTTCTTATAAATTTTAAATTTGGATTTTCAATTCATTAAATAGGCAGCAATTTCATCATCGTCTTCACTTATTACTTCAAACATAAAATATGCAAAAATTGTGAAATAAACCTATATTTCGTCAATGTCAAAACATTGATCTTAGTTTAAGCGCCTAACTTTGATGGTTCAATTTTTCGGATAGTTTAAATTAAGTTCAGACTTGAACTACATTTGAAATACACCATCTTGCAATTAAAACCAGTTCATTTACTGAACTCAGTTTAAACTTTGATTGAAAAACTGGCCCTAGGAAATTAAACGATGCATATTACGTAGGCGTAAATTATCTTTATAAGTAATATTGATTTAGAAATAAAAAAAAAACAATAACAGCCAGATGCAAGAACGTTTAATAAAATTTACGAATAACGCAATGTATTTCTTTTCATGTAATACAAATTTTAAAACTATCAAATTTCTTATTACTACTTAGTTAAATACAACTACTTAACTATACTGCAATTTTTACAAAACGGTAATAATAACATACCAAACGTTGCTTTACATAAATTGACAGCTATATTTGACGTTAAACCACCTCTAAAACACTGAGAAAACTTGGCAGTTTTTGTCCACGAATCGCCCAGTTAGTTTCGCTTCTTGGGTAGGTATTCTTCCAAATCACGTAAGATGTATTAGTCACACATTAAGTTTAATAGCCACTACTGATATATCAAACTACATTAACAAAAGCCAAATACTTAGAGCCAGACATACAAATGTTATCAACAAATGCTCGTTACTTTGGAAAAAGGCTAGTCGGCCTAAGTCTGCAGAAATAATCAAGAGTACTTTAGGGCACACATTAAGTTACCCTACAGTTACACGTTGGAACTCTTTGTACGATTCCATCTCCCAAGTATTGAAAAGAAAAGAAAAACTTCCATCTCTCTTTGAAAAATTAGATTTAAAAAATCAGTCTTTTAAAGACATAGAAATAGCATATTTAGAAGAGTATACTGAAATTTTGCAACCTTTATCACAGACACTGGATATACTACAAGGTGAAAAAGGTATATTTATTGGATACATTATACCTTCTTTAATCAATCTGCAATAAAAATTAGATAAATTGAAAGATAAGAAATACAAATATCTGAATGGAGTTTTACAACGTATAATAGAGTCTCTGAATACAAGATTTCAGATTATTTGAGTTTAACAGAAAACGCAAATAATCCTCTTGTGGCAGCAATAACATCCAAAATTCAAAACTCGATGGATGTCTCTGTATAAATTTAGAAATATTTTCAATTCAAAATCTCATTGCAACCGAAGCCAAATCTTTGCCAAAATTAAAGGTAGACGTTCTAGAAAAAGTTATTAACAATAACACAACTGCTAAATCCCAGGAAGTAGGATTTATCGATTTATTAACCTACATTAATTTAGATAGTATTATCAAATTCCAATTCCTGCAATATCTTCAAGATGCCGAAGCAGACTTAAACATGTTGAGGAAATATGACACAATAAAATTTTTTTTTTATAAATTTAATACGCCTCTCCCCTCATCTGCTCTTGTTGAGAGAATGTTCTCAATCACCACATTTACTACGAAGGAACGCTTTGTCGGATGAACATTTCCAAAATTCAATTCTGTTGAAGGTCAATAAAGACTTTGTGTAAAAAAAAACAGTTTATTATGTTTTATTCTTGTATTCAGTTTAAATTTACCAAGTAAACATTTTGTTTCTGTGGTTTTAATTATTTTTTAAAGATAGTCTGGATACTGTTTTATTTGATGCAAACGTATTTGTATCTTCCATATATTTTAGGGTATTTTACCTACTAAACTTTATTAAGGCACATGCCATCAGCTGTGTCTATATTTGATGTTATGATGTCACAAAAAAACGACAATGAACCATCTCAATAATGCTTCAATCAATATGCATTCTCAATATTAAACTTAAGGATGTAGAATATGTACATATGGTCAAGCAAAACAAGAAGTTTTCTGTGTGGCATTTTGCTGATGACCCCAATTTCCAAAGAAAACCTACAGCATTGGCTGTTGCAGATATTTTTATAAGTATCTTAGCTACTAAAAATTATCTAAGATACCTCATAAGTATCTTAGATACTAAAAAGTATCTTAGATACTTTTAAAAGTATCTTTTTCAAAAACCATCTTAGATACGTCTAAAAGTATCTAAGATACTTTTTAGGGTATATAATTAAAATCGTGAACATATTTTAAATCTTTGTTTCAAAAATTCATAATTATTCTTATTTTTATAACAAATTCCTTCTTTGGCTTAACCAACCAATATTTTATTATATCGATGGCTTGAGTCTGATTTGCTTCCTTAAATTGCATCTTCATTGAACCTAAAAAATAAAAAAATCAACAGACTTGGTACATATACAAATTAAGTGTACATAACTGATGGAATATTTTTAATTTTTTTTTACACCCACATGGATATTAGCTTATCTACACACAGATTACAAAACGAAAAAGTATGCTATTGACTTCAACTGAACGAATATATTTCATATCCATTCTAGGTATTGAGAACACTGCAAAAAAATGAAATCCACCAATCACCGTTCATATTTTGGTCCACCGACTGCTATTATTTTTACAATTTTAAATAAGTGCAAATTCTGTCAAACTAATTGTCAGTATATTTTTTAGTTATAGAGATTAAACATACATTAAAATGGATTATTCTTGTGTAGAATCGATAAATAATAGTATTTCTGTTTTTATTTCCTCTATAATTATAAATAATTTGTTAATTTAAATAAAACTATATGAAGTCAATTTAATTACGAGTATTAAAGCAACAAAAATAAAAGAATAGGTGGTCCTGTGGACAGCGTTCTTGCCTTCCACAAGGTATACTAGAGTTCGATTCTCGGATGAAATAAACTTTTTTTTTCGTTTATTTTATATTATATAATATATTTTGTCTTAATAACCTAAAATATTTTTTCGTTAGTGGGTCGTAGAAAAAACTGTATATACTGTATAATTCGATTGGATTGTCCACATCGCACTCAAATTTCGTCTTCGTGCGATAAGGCCATCATATCCACTCTTGTTGCACAAACTACTATTGACGAACGTAAAATATTAAAAATTGTACATGACATTCCACTAACAAAAACAAGAGTTGCATAAATGATTATTATGTTTAGTGAAAGTTTGAATATATTTTTGTTAATTACTTACCACCATTTTGTAGCTTTCGTCCTCCTTTCGCTAATTTTCTAGTTCTTCCAGGTCAATTACTGGCCTTATAGGGTTCTTTTCGTAGAAAAGGTGTATATTATTCTAGTAACAGTGTATTTTAGTTTCAATTCGCCATTGGTATTAATCGTATTCATAAATTTACACTGGCAATTAATATTTGTTCTAGCATCACTTGTAAGTCCTAAAAAGTAAAAATTTAGTAATTTTTTTTATTTTTATATAGGACACACAATTCAATTGATTTTTATTAATTTATTTACCTATTCAATGAAGCGAGGCCATGTCAAGTCATCCTCAAGCGAGAGTGATTAACAAATTTGTTGGTTATGTCATTCTTCTCTTCTATTAAGGTTGTGTGGTTTTCTTAGAAAAAAAAAAAGAGAGACCTAACTGTACGACGTGTGATATTTCGATATTTAAATCTTTAAAGCACTTGTAAGACATCACAAGACTGGACATTTTGTTGTCTTTTCAAAAGTCGACAAATCTAATATGTCGGCCATAACAAAAATGAAAGTTGAGGCGAATTGTGGGATAACAAAAGACGATTAAGACATGTCAGACCCGCTATCTTATTCGTCTTAAAAAAGTGGCCGAATAATGTCACATTTTGACAACTGTCAAATCATTCGTTTTGGATTTACAGGCGAAAAACGAAATCCGTCATTTTTGGTTTTTCGCCCATATTTTCATAATCAACTGACCGATTCTAAATCTGAAGCCGGTTATCAAATGCACTAAGTGTTCTTTAAAACTTTTCCCTTTTAACCTTTGCTGTAGGTATTATAGGAGCCGAGGTCCCTGTATAGAGAAGCGAATCTGTATGTAGATGAATGGGGGTTTTTATGCCTCGTAACTTCATAATATGTAACAAGAAGAGCTAACATGCGCAGGAACATACCGGTATTTGTGTATCTTGATATTTACCTTACAGTAAATGCTGTCCCCTGGTGACGGTAACATATATGGCTTTTGTAGACGAAGGACCAGATTTCTGGATAAAAAATTGAACAAAAACTACTATTAATCTTTTTTTCTGTTGAAGACTTTGCCTTTAATCCACAATTCGTATCTGCTTAACGTTTCACTACGTTTTGTTTTGCAGTAAAATAACTATGACTTAGTGTTGAATATATGATAAAAATAAAATTGAACTGTAATTATGTAATTGTACTTTACAAATACAATGGATTTGCGTCGAGCTACACGATAATATAGACAAATTAATATGTAAGATAAACTATTTGGACCCACCATCGCACACTACACATTTGGCTGATTGACTTGACAGTTAGAGGCAGCATGAAAGAGAAAATAAAAAAAAGAGTATCAAGCGTAACAGCGGTTTATTCAAATGTCCTTTATTTATATTTTTTGGCATTCATTATTCTAAAAAAACTAATATTTACATTAAAATATTGTATTTAACATAAATATTAGTTTTTTAAGTAATAAAACCCCAGAAAACATAAATAACATAAAATTACATTAAAATATTTGAAACAGGTATATTTTAATCATTTAATAAAAGTAAAATTACATTTATATCATGTACTCAATATTAAATAACAATAATTGTAAGTGAAATGAATAATCTTTCATTCTTGGAAAAATGGACCTAATTTCGATGCAGGTGTCAGGTGTTTCCTGTAGAAACAAAAAAGTGTACATACCTACATCTTATTTAACAATTTTTTTAATTAAAATATTGTCCATTCTCATAAAAGTAGAAGTTATTTTAATTCGTCTAACATTAGTTTATTTCTTATATTTCTTATAGTGTGATACTTGATTTTAATTATATTTTAACTTGAAATTAACAACTCCGTTCTAGTTGATTTAACAAATAAAATAAAGCTTTTTCTCTTTAGGAGTTCATTTTCATACTTTCTCATTTTTTTATAGCAAAACAGTTTTTCTTTGTTTGGAGGGTTGTTCAAATTGTTCATCACTAATACTAAGTTTAGTTTTGCAACTAATTTCGTGTTTTTTGTTGTGGATTAGCAAATCTATCTTATGCTGACTAAAATCTGACTCTCGGGATGAGTATAGTTGGGTTTACTTTAACTATTTATTTAATAAAATTGGTACAGAATATGCAATTAGTTTTGAAGCAATTATACTAAAATGCTCTGGCAAAAAATGATGTTCACAAAGAAAGCGAATTTTATTATCTAAAATTAAATTCAAATTATTTAACCAGTTATTGCGAATTTTAATATTGAAAGGAAAATAAAAAAAAGGTTTTATTTGAATAACCAGCTTACTGAATATTAGAATAGGTAATAGTTATTTAAATAATTAAGAGCTGAACAGAAATATTTAGCTTTTTTCGGTCCAGACATGTTTTGTTACAAATATATTAAAAAATATTTAAAAATTGATCCAAAATGAAATTATTATACTAGAAAACAATGATATAAACATAGTCCTTAAATAAAATCTAACGGCTAATATTAAATTAAATTGTTAATACTTACTAATTACATCAAATCAGCAGACTTATCATCTTATCAATCTTAGTAATCTAAATATAACTTATTTATGGAACTGAACATCATAATAGTATATTGTTTAACGAGTGACGAAAGTAGCATTTTCTACAAACGAGGCGCAGCCGAGTTTGATAATGTTCTCATGTTGCAGATAATGCTTTTCGACGAGTAAGACACTATACTTTTTCTATAACCATGACTTACTATATAGGATGTACAAGAAGTTTGAATGAGTTGAATCATCTTTACCATGTTTGTTTGGCATCTACCTTTATATTATAATTGAACTTTTCCATTATACAATCCTATAAATAAATTCTAAGACTGCAACAATAATTTTATAATATCTGAAATTGCAACCACTTACTTTCGTCACTAGATACGAAAGTTAACGTTATGGGATATTCCTTCATTGGTGTCGGTCGGTACTGGTGTTTTCGGTTAGAGTAAAACGTGACGAAAGTTGTTGATTTTTAAATGGTTATAGAAAAAATATTTTTTAGTTATGGTATTTCGCATTTTTCGCCATTCTGATTTTCATTTTTACGAGGTTGTCAACATAGTTGTCAAACCTCTCTTTAAAATATCTTAACAACAGTATGGCCATTGTATGGAACAAGGCTTTAGAGTTGAAACGATGTGTAAACATATATTTTTATTAATACAATAATAAAATTAACAATGTAAATTGTGACAATCTGTAGTTGCTTCACATATAAAATATTTGTCTGTTCTTGAACAATTCAGATCATTCCATGTAAATCCAGCTGTGCCAAACCAACCTGCTTCGATGCAGTTTTCTGAATCGTTCAGTGCTTTGTTAGGTTCTCCGGGATACCATTTAAAGAAAGTAACTTGGTTTCCTGTCGACAGCCATACCCACTTTTTTTTGTCTGCTAGATTGGTAGCCGATGTCCAAAAGCGGTTAAATGTAAAACCTAAAACAAAATTAATGTTGTACTAAACGAACTTATACAGATCCATTTCTAGATTTCTTAAACAGCACCAGGAATTACAGGGTGTTTTGGAAATACATGTACATTTTAAAACGAGATAATATTTGAACTTTCCTCGAACGCACAAAAATATGTTTAAAAAATACCTGTTAATAGAGGCCATATTAACTTTTAAAAATCGACTTTAAAATAAACATAGTCACTACCATGATGAGCACCTGCAGGATGTTTTGTTTAAAAAAAGTATAGGTTCAGTCGGCTTCTCATTTATGAACCACCTTATAAATCTAAGAATAATTGTTAAATATGATCATACAACTTTTATATTAATTTTTTTTTCGTATTTCCAATAATAAAACAGCTATAGATAAATTACGCACTGATGGTAAATTTATAAGGAATTTTATGCTAAAATAATATACAGAGTATTGCATTTGAAAAAAAATTGAGTAAATTGAATTTAAAATTCGCCATATTTCGAAACATTTTGTATAAAATAAACCAGTTCCATCATCAGGGTTCGTTAGCTTAGTATGTTATAAGTTATACTAAACAAGTTTGAAATCAATGTAAATCTACCTAAATTATGATCATTTAATTTGGGTTTTGCATTGTTCTCTAATTTCATAAAAAAATAATTGTTTGGCAAACCTGTAATATTTTAAAAAACAATTCTAGGGTTAAATACAGTATTACAAAACTATTCTAAATCTGAAATAAAATACAGGGTGTTCAATTTAAAAATCTACATTTCTATTTGCCAAGTAAAAAGGCATATCCAAAAATATTTTTAAAATACGAATTAAGTTTTTTAAGAAAACCAACAAGCATAGATACACGAAGTAAGTATTATCCTAATTCCTGGCCCTAAGGGTCAGGAACTCAGCAGTTAGTTTTTTTTACTGAGATACTACCTATTTTGTGTAGGTACCTATGCTTTACTCATCGTACTAATTACAATGGCACTGACTTCTCAAATAACTATTATAATTTTACCCAATATACTAATAAATAAGTATATAGGTATACAAGTACGTCATTAATCATACCTATGAAGACTAGAGATAAGGAGGCGAATCGGCATGCTCAAAGTACGGTCCCACAAATTACACGTCAATTGAGCTTTTATAATTAACCGCATGGGCGCTGGTACGGTTTACGTAGTTCAAAACACATGGCTTCTTATGGGAATTATACATAATTTTGTCAAAATAAAAAAAAAATAAACTTGTTTATAGCTAAATAAAGCACAGAACATAGTGTTATATTTTTTTCTAAATAAGTCTTACATATTTTAATTGATACATTATTTACTATTTATTCCTATTTAAGTAAAATGCAAATTATTGATGATAAATGTTAAAATTTGATGGGTAGGGCTAATTATTTTTAATTAAAGCTAAATAGGGCTGAGGACATACTAAGACACGGTTTAAATAAAAATATTTAGTTAGGGATTTTACAAAATTTTATGAAAATAATAAAAATCAAATTGTGTATTGCTAACTAAAGCACATAAAATACCGTTGATTATAATTATATTAAATAAGTTTTTGTTTTAATTGCTAACTAAAGTACAGAAAATACTGTTGGTATTAATTATAAATGAGTCTTTATGTTAAACATTATTTACTATTCATTTTAATTTTATTTAAATAAAATGAAAATTAGGTATGATCAAATTTGAAAATTTAATAAATGGTGAAATTTGGTAATAACAGTTTTGTGGTAATTTTGTATTCGAAAACTACAATTTCATCATCCTGGTGAATAGTTTCTTCAGCAATAGGTTCTAGTATTTTCTTCTTTTCCTAATACTGAACAAGTATGAAAGGAGATTCGGGAATATACATCGTATTGCTTCGTTCCTTAATTTCGACCTTTCCCTTTTTATTTTGTTAACAGTAGCATTAGTTAAAATAGTCCCATTAAATTTTAAAATATCATCTTCTAAAAAGTGTAGCTCGCAAGCAGAATCATAACTAGACAGTACTTTATCAGCCCTAGGAATCACATGCTGCCATTGTTCTAAACGGTTGGGATCCTATAAAAAATATTTGCAATGAATAAATTGGAGTTCAATAAAGAAAAATAACAGTAGTAACTTTTCATCTAACATCAAAAAACATAAAAAAAGAAAAATTTTCTTTTCTAGTAAGTTAAATTTAATGTGTAATTATTGTTGTTTGTAAGTCAGGATTTTTGACTTTATTATATTTACTTATAGAATTTTATAATTAAATAAACTACACTCCGTAAGATACGGGTTATGACTATTTTACAATAAATATATATTATTTAGAAATAAATACTTTATTTTACTTACACTAGGAACTTTAAAAAGACTTGGATTTTTATCTCCTTGTGTTTTATTTAATTTTATATCGGATTTATATCCCGTTTTTCAACCCGGAACGAAGCAAATCCGGCTTTGCCGTTTTTTGTTACTCATTGTTACTTGTAGTCAGGTTCTTTATTTCAGCTTATTTTTATTCTTTTCACTAAATTTTACAAAAATCACTTTAATTCCCATTGCTTAGAAAATAGACGTCGTTATTTTGCCACCCGCCAACTATAGTAGTTTTTTAGAACTCCATAAAAATAGGGACGGAAATTTGAAATTTGACCAAGGCCGATTCGTCTCCTTGTCTCTAGTCTTCATAAGCATACCAGATGTTCTAGAATCAAACATAGGTCGGTTAGACCTAACTTCTCCAGTTTTTGCGTTAACAGAAACATGGCTTGACTCATCGATCAATAATGTTGAATTATTTCCAGGTTACTTTAGTATATATAGATCGGACAGGTCTAGGTTTGACTTAATTGATATTGTTATTGTTAATAGTTAATTTTAGTTCTACATATATTTTTAATGTTTATATATCCACTAAAACTACACTAACAGATTACGAAAACTTTTTTGAATCGTTTGGAACTTTAGATGTTTTATATAATGCGTAATTCTTGGTTTTAGGTGACTTTAATATTACAGATTATGCATCCCACCTACTTAATTATACCTTCTGTAATAAACATATCTCATTAATTAACAATTTCATGGAGTTCTTTGCACTGTCACAAAACAATTTTGTATATAATGAATATCTCACAAAATTTTATGTAATACATTTATTTTGGTCGAGAGATCTGTGGATTCATTAATTAATTGCGGAAGATAAGTATTACCCATCACTTGACATATCTTATAATGCTCTTGGTATATCAGAGGTAAATAAGATATTTGAAAGCCCTTTTCAGCACTCTTATAATTTTAGAGAAGAAAATTTCCTAGAGATGTATGACATGTTATCAAAAGTTGACTGGCAATTTTTAGAAGTGTTTCAGGATCCCAATGATGGTTGCTCCTATTTTTACGCAAAATTATACAACATATTTGACTCGTACGTACCAAAATTTTCCATACCCTCTAAAAAGAAATATCCGCCATGGTTTGATGGTAATATCATTCGAAATATTCATAAAAAAGGACAAAATTGGCGTAAATATAAATCTGATAAAGATATTTTAGCTTTCGACGAATTTAAAAGAATAAGGACAATCACAAAAAGTGATATTAATGTGGCCTATAAACAATTTATTAAAAAAATCTGATGATGGAATATCATCCAATCCCGACAAATGTTGGTCATTTATTTCAAATAAAACACACTCGACTCGTTTGCCCAGAAGAATGCGCCACAATGAAAATTACTTTGAGAATTCCACTGAAATTATTAATAGATTTGCTGATCTTTTTTGTAAGTCTTACACTGATTCTACTGAGCCAAATTCCGAAGTTAATCTATTAAATGTATCAAATTTTAACATAAATTCCTTTACCGAAGATGAAGTTAGAAATACGTTAAAATCAATGAAATCTAAAATGACTATGAGGCCAGATAATATTCCATTCTTTGTTTTGAAAGACTGCGCTTCAATTCTCGCCCATCCCTTAAACGTTCTCTTAAATATTTGTCTCAAATTTTGTTCTATCCCATCTATCTGGAAATGCTCTAAGGTCTGCCCGGTATTTAAAAAGGGTGATAAGTCAGACATTGCACAATATCGTCCAATTTCAATTATTAGTAATTGTTTGAGATGCTACTTCAAAACAAGATTTATCATCACGTTGATATCATATGATATCAATAGAACAACATGGATTCATGAAAGGCCGTTCCACCGTTACCAATCTTATAGCTGTAATACAGTACATTGCAGAAAATATCGACAAGAGAATTCAGACGGATGTAATATACACCGACTTTTCCAAAGCGTTCGATCGGCTTGATCATGGTATCATGTTAAATAAACTTTCATGCTGTGGTTTTTCCCAATCACTGTTAAATTAATTTAAGTCTTACTTTTCCAACAGAAAGTAATATGTTGAGATTAACGGTTTCAAGTAGACTTAATATCTGGCAACTTCCGGTGTTCCGCAAGGTTCTAATTCAGGTCCTTTATTATTTAACATATTTATAAATGATATAAGCATTTTTTTAGATACAGATATAAACTTTCTTCTATGGACCGATGATTTAAAGTTGTTCTGTCGTGTCGAAACGGTCGAGAACTGTTAAAGGATTTCAGATAATCTGCGACGTATTGAGGAGTGGTGCCTCAATAAGATCCTTCCTCTTGACTTCTCTAAATATTTTGTAATCTCTTATACCTTGAATCAATTCTTTTTAACTTTTAACTATAGCGTTAACAACACGATTCTTTAAAGATCGGTTACCATCACAGGTCTTGAAGTTACATTTGATCCCACTTTGTCAATGAACAACCCTATAGAATCAATAGTAGTATTAGCATCGTATGGATTTAGCGTTCGTAACAGTCGTGATTTTAAGGAACCGAAGACACTAAAATCATTGTATTATACATTTTTCAGATCTAAACTTGAATATGCCTCAGTTGTATAGAGCCCATTCTATCAGTTACATATTGATAGAATTGAAGCAGTTCAACGGAGATTATTAAAACTTGTAAGTTTTAAATAAGATGGAGTTTATCCCCCTGTAGGTACACCTCATTATGATTTGCTACTTAGACATAAGTTTTAGAGTCTTGATACAAGACGCAAATATTATTTTGTGGTATTGCTATTTAAAACAGTTCATTTTAAATGATTTTTCATATTTGATTCATAGTCTTAATTGTGTAGTTTCTCGAATAGCTTTCAGGAACACCCGAACATTTTACTTGAATACACCTAGAACAAATGTTCTCTTAAAATCCCCCATATACATCATGTGTAATAATTATGAATCAGTAAGTTGCCAGCTTGATCTGTTTTATAGTTTAATTCATAATATTAGGTGTTATTTCTATAATAATGTTCTCTGAAATCTTTAGTTCTGCATATATTTATGAAATGCTAGAAAAATTATTCTCTTAGCCTTTTTTTCTCACTTGCTGTTCAATCAATTAGAATATTATTTCTAAATTAATTGTTTTTATATATTCTTGTACTCTTACTCTGTAATTGGGTCTTGACCTGTTGAGTAATGTAATAATAAATAAAATATGCAGTGTCGGCTACAGAACAATTTTCAGTGCGCTTTGGTATTGTCAAAGTAAAAACTGCGGAGAGTTAGCATTAATGGAAACAGAAAACGAATTATATCAATGTTACCAGTTTATACAACCCGGTACACAATGACCGGACTCTTTAAACAAGTAACGTTGATATTGTTCGTTTCCTGTTCGCGATACTGCTAACCCTTTGTAGTTTTCAATTTGATATTAGTAAAGCGTATTGGAAAGCGTTCAATAGCCGACACTGTATAAAAAAGTGCATACAAAAAGTATAGTATTTTGAAGTTAAAACGGAGGCCATTTTGAACATTGGTGAATTACATATTTTTGTATCTGGAAAAAAATATTTTCTTAGTAAACAGTAATTTTTTATTTTTCAAAGTTAGAATTTGGTTTTAAGCAAATCACTTAGTTTTATTAGTTTTACATTTTTTAAGGAAATCATTTTAAAAATAAGTCTATCGTGTTTAAATTAATTGTAAATAAAGGGTGTTTTAAAATAAGTGCATGATTTGAATTTCACATAAAGGGTAAGGTAAAAGAACAGACTATGTCATAAAAATGACTTACTGAGAAAATTGAGTTTATAAAAAATATTATTACCAAATCTTATGTTACAGTCATAGAAATAAATAAAACTGAGCGTTAATAATTTTAACGTACTTTATTACTGTATAGTTAACTTGTTACAAAATAATTTAAACGTAAGATTATATTCGGGTTAAAAAAAATAAACGTGACAAATCTTGTTAAAAAGGAATGATTTCCATTTTAGAACTAAATTATAATAAAGAGATATTCGCCTGTAAAACAATGTTTCATAAACTTCGTTAGTATTTGGGTGACAAAAACGTTTTAGTACTTGCAAATCGTTGTATTTGGCTTGGACAACGTTGTTGTTTTTTTCAGTAATGCACGGACAACGTCCGTTTTTAACCATTATGATTATTTTTAAATGTCTTATTATTCGGACCGCGTTTGTTTTATTCGCTTACAATTTAGAACGTGTTTGAAAAAGGTAGATATTTGTAATAATAAAATTTGAGAAATTAATCGCAAAATTATTGATGTTCACAAAAATGTTTGTAAAGTAGGCCTTGCAAAAATTCGCAAAATATGGGCATGACTTGTATTTGTCTTTGTCGGTCATGGCCTACTTTAGTAACATTTTTTTGTGGATAACCCTTTTCATATTACTACCTATTTTAATGAACATGTATTTTAAATATATACGTGTACTTATAATGCCTAAATGGATTTAAATTGCCGAGCCTCAGCCGGTTCCTATATATAAAGTCCTAATTATAGCCCAAGAGCCCACTGCAAATTTTTACCGTCATTTGATTGAACGAAATGAAATATACCCCAAAAGCATGTAAAAACATTTTACTTTACCAAATGGCACCTGTGCCAATTCCAATCCTGAGCAAAGTGGCTTAAAAAAATTATTTTATTTTAAAAAAATCACATAAAGCATGACAGCGCTAATTTTGTTTGCCCTTAAAGTTTTCCAGAAAATAACATTCAAATATATCTTGATATATATCGTTAACGGGAAGCATATTTACACATTCTCCTATATGACGGCACCGAAGTGCTGAAATCTGTTCGCCTTTGTAACCTAGAAGTACGCTAAAAAAGCTCATTGATTTAGGCACCAATGCATGAGGCCTCTCTTATTACTGGAATCAGTAAGCAAGCTTATCTGCATTCTATGAAACAATGGCTGTACTTAAACTGCCGTTAAACGGTCGTGTACTAAAATGCCGTTAATAGACATTATGTCATTCAAATGACGCATTTGAAGTGTTTTGGAAAAAAAAAAGAAAATATACAAGAATAAAACGAAGCAACGACTTCTCGTAGGCGAAGCCGCCACCAAAAATTTTTAGCCCATATCTGGCTACGCCTACCGGCATAGCCTGGACACAGTTAAAATTGAAAAATAAAGTCTTACATAACATAAAATTTGTATGGGTGTCTAAATCAATGAGCTTTTGTAGCGTACTTGTAGGCTACAAAGGCGAACAGGTTTCAGCACTCCGGTGTCGTCATATAGGGGGATGTGTAAATATGCTAACGGGAAACATTTTTTTCCTCACATCTATCCACGATTAGTAGGTAAAAATCATTAAAAATATGAATCAATTTTTGCTGATTTAAACATTTATTTGTATGCCTATTGTTGTGATTCATTTTTACAGGTTGCCATAGAAACAACAAAAAAACTACTATGGTTATGGTTTAAAAGAATTGTCTAACAAGAGTTTATTATTATTATTGACTATCTCTGCAAATTGTCTATACAATGTTATCCTTCTTCCTTTCACACACAAACATGGTTTAAAAGGTAGGTATTATTAATTCAGGTTTAAAAGCTAGGTTCACAATGAATTAGGATTGTAATTTTCAGGGAAAAAACAATTGTCGCTGTCATGTCTTATGTGATTTTTGAATATAAAATAATGTTTTTAAGCACTTTGCTCAGGATAGGGATTGGCACAGGTGCAATTTGGTATAAAGTACAATGTTGTTACATGCCTTTGGAGCACATTTCATTTCGTTATCAGATGACGGTCGAAATTTGCAGTAGGCTCTCATACTATTACGTATAATATGTAAAAACATTAAGATAGTTTAATAATTATATACCTTTATCTTTTATGAAATTCCCAATTCTTTGGTTTTCTTCATCATTATTTATGCTTAATAATTGCATTCCTTGTTGACGACAAAACTGCATCGCACTGTAGAAATTTGTCTAAAATAGAACAAACGTTATTAAAAAAATATTTTATAATTTCGTTAGTTGTTAGTAGTTTGACTAAATCTTTTCCGAGAAATATATCTTTATTAGAAAATGCAAATTAAAGGGTCCTTATAATTTTATAGAACACCAAGATCAAGATGATTCCTTATTATATACATGGTTTCGTTCAGAGTTGGCACATCTTTGGTTGTGACAAGCTCAATTAATGTTCACCTTTTATTATTAATACCTAACATAAATACATATTTTTGCAGTTGGTAATTGTTAAAATGTTCGAAATTTTGTAAATAGTTAGATCTTGGCAAACACCACAATTAAGATGATTTTTATATAGTCTGAATAAAAATAATTACTCGATAATAGACCAAAGGTGCCACCCGATAGTGGCCGTACCGTGGTTAAACTACTACCACAAAAAAGTCTAAATAAAAAAGGAGTGTAGTAAAAGTGGGGATATAACATCATTTTCGATAGGCGTACTTTGCAATATTTTCTATAATATAAATCCTTATAAAATGGTATATTCGCACTGCATAGATTAAATTTTGAATGAAAAAATAAAATAAACCTTATGCTTCTGACAAAATTGTTGCACTTTAACATTGATTAACGAACTAAAGTTTAATCAATAAATAATAAGGAGGATTATAAATTGCTAATGGGATTAAACTTTTTTTAATCTCTTGACATTAAAAGTAACACTTCAATACCTAAAATCAAAGATTATCCGTAGACCTTTGTTCTGCCATTACATACGTCACATCACACCAATCCGTTACATTCCGTCAGCAATTGACCCAATAAAATCTTTCCCAAACTCGTGCCAGTGTTTTTTAGTACCTTTTTTAGTCCTCCCGAACGGCTTCAAAGAAGCTCCTCCAACACACTTCTGACATGTGATTTCGGCAGTACCACTTGGCGGACTACATGTACTTCATCCGAGCTTTCCCACTTCCGGTGCAATAGGCCATCGTGAAGATACAGGGAATCCCAGTACTCTTTAATAGCTTTACTGTGTTTGGCTATCTCTTGCCAAGTAGGTGAAACTTTATTTTTGAGCCATTCTCGAACAATCTTCAAGTCATTGTCTTTCTTCTGCCCCTTTCTCAGACTTTAAAGGATGATTTCTTCTTCGTCGCCCTCTGGTTTGATAGTGGTTACCCGAAGAATAACTTTATCAACTTGTTTCCCCCCGTTTTCCAAGCCCCTTACTGTACCGATATTATCGTTCTAAACAGGGTCGCCTGGAGAGAATGTCTGCGTTGCTATGGAGATGGCCTCTACGATACTCTACTTCTTGATTATTGCTAGAAAGCTGGCTCATTGTGGGTGATTGTCTTCTCGGGACGCATAGCTGCTGTGACTATTTCTTGTTGGACTTCGTGACGGGCTTCGGAAGATTGATCTATGTGAATTTCCGACCTCATTTCTTGATTTTCGATTTATAGAACAAGTTTTACTTCTACAGGTTCTTTGAAGGTGCCCAATTCTTCCGCAATTGAAACATCTGCTGCTTCCATTTTGGCTGTTTCATTGCATATTTTGCAGGATATTTAATATTTGCGAGAGGGTAGGTTGGGGAATAGCATTAGTACTGGCCTCCTCACTTTCCTGGGATTTAATTTCTTTCACTTTTACGCGAGACCCGGATGAGATTTATCGCTTCATATTCCTGGCATATTATTAGTTACTCCCTTAGCGTCTTGTGATGTTGTAGACGAAGGGCTTGCTGCATTCTCATCTCTTGTAGTTCATCAATAAATGCCTGTATGTCGATTTGTTCTTGGAAATCTTTGGGTGTCTGTGGATAGGCCAGATAAATCAATCGTTTTATATCGGCCTCGAATTCCTGTAGACTCTCATTATGTTTCTGACTGCGAACCTTTAGCTGGCTTTAGAATACCTGTTTCAAATGCCATATCTTCTCTCTAAAGCTTGGACGAGAGATGAATAACTAGGTTTTTCTTAAGGGAGTAACTGTAAAGCGGTTGCAGCTTGTCCTCGCAGCGACACTAGCAATGCTGTCAATCAGCCCAGCCATTGGCTCTAGCTGCAGCTTCAAATCGGAGGCGATACTTTTCCTATGTTTTCTGACCGTCAAATGTGGGTGACTTAATGATCTTGCTAGTATGAATTTGTGAAACTGGGTTTTGAATATGGCTTGGTTTGATTACAGATGAGGACGAGGTAGTGTTTTCAGTTTCTATGTTGCTTATCGAAGCTAGGCTACGAATTCTTCTTTCTAACTCAACTAGTTCAGTTCTAATTTGCCTTTCGAACTCTACTCTAGCCTTTTCCTGTTGTTTTAATTTATCTCGTTGTCGTCCTAAATCAGTTTTTAAATGCTCTTGCTGCTGTTTTAAATTAGCTTTTAAATGCTCTTGTTATTGCTCTGAAATATCTACTCCAATTTTAAGCTAACCAATCTCTTGTTTGAAGGTTTTCTGGATTTGTTGTAAAGCATTCATAATTTCTACCTCAGATTCTTTCGCCTCCCTTCTTTCTCTTTTTCTTCTTCTTCCTTCCTGCGTCTTTCCTTCTCCTCTTCCCGAATTTCTTTTTCTTTTTCTTTTTCTTTTTCTTTTTCTTTTTCTTTTTCTTTTTCTTTTTCTTTTTCTTTTTCTTTTTCTTTTTCTTTTCTTTTTCTTTTTCTTTTTCTTTTTCTTTTTCTTTTTCTTTTTCTTTTTCTTTTTCTTTTTCTTTTTCTTTTTCTTTTTCTTTTTCTTTTTCTTTTTCTTTTTCTTTTTCTTTTTCTTTTTCTTTTTCTTTTTCTTTTTCTTTTCTTTTTCTTTTTCTTTTTCTTTTTCTTTTTCTTTTTCTTTTTCTTTTTCTTTTTCTTTTTCTTTTTCTTTTTCTTTTTCTTTTTCTTTTTCTTTTTCTTTTTCTTTTTCTTTTTCTTTTTCTTTTTCTTTTTCTTTTTCTTTTTCTTTTTCTTTTTCTTTTTCTTTTTCTTTTTCTTTTTCTTTTTCTTTTTCTTTTTCTTTTTCTTTTTCTTTTTCTTTTTCTTTTTCTTTTTCTTTTTCTTTTTCTTTTTCTTTTTCTTTTTCTTTTTCTTTTTCTTTTTCTTTTTCTTTTTCTTTTTCTTTTTCTTTTTCTTTTTCTTTTTCTTTTTCTTTTTTCTTTTTCTTTTTCTTTTCTTTTTCTTTTTCTTTTTCTTTTTCTTTTTCTTTTTCTTTTTCTTTTTCTTTTTCTTTTTCTTTTTCTTTTTCTTTTTCTTTTTCTTTTTCTTTTTCTTTTTCTTTTTCTTTTTCTTTTTCTTTTTCTTTTTCTTTTTCTTTTTCTTTTTCTTTTTCTTTTTCTTTTTCTTTTTCTTTTTCTTTTTCTTTTTCTTTTTCTTTTTCTTTTTCTTTTTCTTTTTCTTTTTCTTTTTCTTTTTCTTTTTCTTTTTCTTTTTCTTTTTCTTTTTCTTTTTCTTTTTCTTTTTCTTTTTCTTTTCTTTTTCTTTTTCTTTTTCTTTTTCTTTTTCTTTTTCTTTTTCTTTTTCTTTTTCTTTTTCTTTTTCTTTTTCTTTTTCTTTTTCTTTTTCTTTTTCTTTTTCTTTTTCTTTTTCTTTTTCTTTTTCTTTTTCTTTTTCTTTTTCTTTTTCTTTTTCTTTTTCTTTTTCTTTTTCTTTTTCTTTTTCTTTTTCTTTTTCTTTTTCTTTTTCTTTTTCTTTTTCTTTTTCTTTTTCTTTTTCTTTTTCTTTTTCTTTTTCTTTTTCTTTTTCTTTTTCTTTTTCTTTTTCTTTTTCTTTTCTTTTTCTTTTTCTTTTTCTTTTTCTTTTTCTTTTTCTTTTTCTTTTTCTTTTCTTTTTCTTTTTCTTTTTCTTTTTCTTTTTCTTTTTCTTTTTCTTTTTCTTTTTCTTTTTCTTTTTCTTTTTCTTTTTCTTTTTCTTTTTCTTTTTCTTTTTCTTTTTCTTTTTCTTTTTCTTTTTCTTTTTCTTTTTCTTTTTCTTTTTCTTTTTCTTTTTCTTTTTCTTTTTCTTTTTCTTTTTCTTTTTCTTTTTCTTTTTCTTTTTCTTTTTCTTTTTCTTTTTCTTTTTCTTTTTCTTTTTCTTTTTCTTTTTCTTTTTCTTTTTCTTTTTCTTTTTCTTTTTCTTTTTCTTTTTCTTTTTCTTTTTCTTTTTCTTTTTCTTTTTCTTTTTCTTTTTCTTTTTCTTTTTCTTTTTCTTTTTCTTTTTCTTTTTCTTTTTCTTTTTCTTTTTCTTTTTCTTTTTCTTTTTCTTTTTCTTTTTCTTTTTCTTTTTCTTTTTCTTTTTCTTTTTCTTTTTCTTTTTCTTTTTCTTTTTCTTTTTCTTTTTCTTTTTCTTTTTCTTTTTCTTTTTCTTTTTCTTTTTCTTTTTCTTTTTCTTTTTCTTTTTCTTTTTCTTTTTCTTTTTCTTTTTCTTTTTCTTTTTCTTTTTCTTTTTCTTTTTCTTTTTCTTTTTCTTTTTCTTTTTCTTTTTCTTTTTCTTTTTCTTTTTCTTTTTCTTTTTCTTTTTCTTTTTCTTTTTCTTTTTCTTTTTCTTTTTCTTTTTCTTTTTCTTTTTCTTTTTCTTTTAGAATTAATTAAAATATATACGATACTGCTATGAATAAATAAAGTCTGACTTATCTGTCAGAAGAAAAGTTTTATTATAGTAATAACCATGGAAATATGAATAAATCTATTAGGCTGAGCTGATGTATTAAAATTTTTAGTTTAATCACGCTACCACACACTACGAGATAATGCGTAAGACCTTTATTTTAAAAAAACACATTTTTTATGCTTTTTGATAATAACTATGCACTAGAGTTAGAGTTTTTATTAATATAATGTGATTAAATCAAATTGTCATTTTAGGTCAGATTTCTGAAAATTGCCGTGACAATCAACGTGTTAAGGTGTGTTTTAAGAGGTTTCTATTATTAAATACGACATCACTAAAATTTATTTGTATAATTTATTAACAAAATGGTAGAAATAAAATTAATAATAATAATAAAAAATATTTACTCAACGAGATATCAAAATATAAACATAAATAATTAAAAAAAAACAAACATTTTCTAAAAAAAACTCAATTTTGTGGAAAACTGCAACTCCTACTTTCCACATTATTTAGGTTGAGCAGTCTTTGCATATTTTCTTTGTGTGTTCAAAACAGACCGGCCGTTTACAGACCATACAAATGTAGGCTGTTTTCCTTTTCATTTTTTGAAGGGCATATTTTTTACAATAATTATTGTTTATCCCAAAAACCTAATAAAAAATTTTAAATTTAAAAATAGTCTAACTTTCACAGACCTTACGTCTACCAGACACTCCTTGACGAATAAAAAATGTTTACAGTGATATTTATTAAATGTATGCGTTGATTTTGTAGTTGTTAGCTTCTAACTGATTGATTTAAAGGTACAGAGAAGCCCAATAGCACAAGTCGTCGTAGGATGGAAAAACAAAAAAATGGCCGCTCGGAGTACGTCTCACAGACCGGTCGTCTGTGATAACGGGTTAACTAAAAATAAGCATTGAAGACTGAGGTATAAAAAAATGTCTACTTCTTGAACCTGTACTACGTTCTGCAAATAAAATTAATGCACCTCTTTCTTCTCTAGACTATCTCTTTCTTCTCTTACTTCATTAAAATAAGTAATATTTTTGACATTACAACATGATTAGAAAATTAGCATTTCTTGATACTTGACACGGAGAAGATTTTTTTTTATTTGTCTTTGGTTTTCCTCTCGTAGTTCTGGTGGAAACCACAATGACAATTAGAGGTTTTTGGCAGTTATTTTAAATATTAAATATTTGAAATTCCCTATTTTAAACCCGCCACTGTATCCAACATAATTGTATTTATAGTAAAAGTAATATTAAAAATTACAATTTCACTTACCTGAAAAATGCTGTCTACATAATAAACTTTTCCTAAATAATTGAACCAGTTTACAGTTTTTCTTGCTGGAAGAACTGGTGATAAGTATTCCTCTGGATGCACAATCACCATAAACATTGAACAAATAACACCAATTAAAATTAGGTTAGAACTCATCATTTGGCTCATAAAAGACTACATGTAGCTATAAATTGGACGGATTTTTTTTGGCTTACTAAACGAAAAACCAATTCTACGCAACAGTGTAAACACTGGATTATCCTCAAGTTATCTCCGATCACATAAAAATAAACCACAAACCAGATTATGACCTGTAGCCGATAACATTTCTTTAAAAATATATATCTCATGAATTCTTAATAATAATTATAGTTTGGAATCGTTTGTTAATTTGGTGTTCATAGAAATGATTTCCCTTTAATGCATTATAAATCTATATTTTATTGTTCCAGTCTTAAGTTTTAAATAATACTCGTAAACATCTTACCAGACTGTATGTATTTATCATGACAAAACATTAGTATATTTTATTATTAATAGACTGAGAAACAACAGTCATAAATTAACAAAACTTTATTTTAAAACTTTAAATATAGATATTGTAATGATGATTAATAATGCTATTTAAAATAAAATAATTTATATCAATGAAAATAATAAAATACGAGAAAAAATAATCAGATACGGATCTATGAAATGGTGAAATGATGAAATGGTGCGTATACAGTTTTGAAAACAAATGTATAAAAATATGTTAAAGCGTAATATCACAAGAGGTGAGTATTTTGTCCAATCGGGATTGAGTAAAAAACACTGCTGCATGCAATTTGTGTTGTTGGAATATAAAATGATTGTCATTGATTGATGTATTATAATTTATAAAGATAAATAATTGAACCAATCTGGATAACATCGTACTATGAGATTACGCGATAGTTTTAGTAGTTATGTTATAATATTTACCCAAAGTCAGTTTCCAAAGATATTATTTACGAACCTACACTTTACAAAATCATAAACAACTAATGAATATCTTGAAAACCTTGCTTTACTTGGTGATTTTATGTTAAATCTTTTCATTTGTAGGTAACAGTAACTACTTTATTTATGTTCCTATTGTTCTATTCTAAAGCTTTTTATGTATCAGGTCTCCCCACGAATCTCAAGCACTTAACATGAACAGTAGTAGTTACAAACCATTAATCAGATTGTTTAGAAATTATTTTTAGCTAAACTTCGTTATGTCTCTTCTCAGCATTTTGAGGAAAATGCTTATTGCTCTTATGTAAAAAGGTATGTGAAGAGGCATGAACCAATTTATTATAGGAGGTGAGTACTAAGAAAATTTAAGCATTTACTTCAATAGATGGGAGCAGTATTAAAATAAAACGTAATAATATAAATAAACATGTAAGTAATATTTACTTTTCGAAACATTTATATTACAATAATTGTTTTTATTTATTTCAGGTTTACTACCTGTGGCTCATTTACACACCTGAAAGTAGGGGGTAGGCTTCAGCTGAGAAAATAGCCCCCTCTGCTAAATAGTATATTATTATTTGGAACAGTTAGAAAATGACCTGTAATATTTAAAATAAAAGCTTGATGTCAATCTCAAATCAGTTTTAATTAATTAATTTTATTCAAAGTATTCTTGTTTTTATAAAAGTCAAAAGACGATGCCCTCTTTACATCAAAATCTTGTTTTGTTGGCATTAGCAAATTATCTAAAAAGAGGAGACTTTCCATGGTTATTTATAAAAATATTTACGGTCTTTCACAGAACAGTTATCATACTACTGCTGTTATTTTACGAATAATAAGTAATTATTAAAAACATATTCGTTTTATTTTATCAAAAATATATTAAGATTAGCTGGCAAATAATAAGTAAAATAAAACTAAAATAAATATATATTTTTCTTGGCATTCTATATTATACTCTTCACAGTTTAACAGACCCCCTTAACCTCCATTTTCAATAAAAAAAATCAGGATCAATACGCTTCATCATCTTTTCCTGAAGATTTCAAATTGATTTCTAATTTAGGATTTTTTTCAATATTTCAACCCCCTTATCTCCCAATTTTGATTCAATTTTTTTTAGAATCAATTTTTGCTAAAACTTTTATGTTGATATCGTTTTTGATGTTTGATTTCTATTTTTGTTCCCATTTTTTTTAAATTAATTGTTTTCGTCCCCTATAGAGCTTGATTTTTGGTAAAAATTTTAAATTGATATTATTTTTCGTTTTGCGTTATTTTTTTAATTATTTTAATTCCCCTTAACCCCTCATTTTTATTCAGATTTTTTTCAGAATAGGCTTTATCCACTTAAAAAGCTTGATTTTTTCTCAAGATTTCAATTTGATATCGTTTTTTGTTGCTGAGTTGGAATTTTTTTCAATATTTCAACTTTCAACCCCCTTATGCCCCTAGTTTTACTTAGATTTTTTTTTAGAAACAATAAGCTTCATTCCCATGTAGACCTTGATTTTTTAATAATATTTCATGTTGATATCGCTTTTCATTTTTGATTTATGATTTTTAAATTTTACCCCTCCTCAAAACACCCATTTTTAATCAGAGGGCTCTTTTTTAACAGATTTTTTTGCCAAAAATTTCAATAATATAATTTTTCGTTATTGAGTTAGGATTTTTTTTCAATATTTCAACCCCCTTGTCGCCTCATTTTTATTCAGATTTTTCGTAGAATCAATAGACTTCATTCCCTTATTTTTTATTAAAATTTCATATTGATATCACTTTTGGTGTGTAATTTCTAGTTTAATATTTCAACCCACCATTTTGATTTGGATTTTTTCAGAATCAATAGGCTTCATCCTTTTATAGAGCTTGATTTTTACAAAAAATTTCATGTTGATATCGCTTTTCGTTTTTGATTTATGATTTCAACCCCCTTAACTCCTACATTTTTGATCAGATTTTGTTCAAAATCAAAGGACTCCTTCCTCTTGTAAAGCTTGATTTTTAATAAAAATTTCAAGTTTTCATTTTTAAATTTATATCTTTTTCCGTTTTTATCTTATCGTGCAGACAAAAAAAACGTGACATCGGACAGACAGACTACTGTGTGAAGAGTATAAAAACGGTTAGATTACTATTTTTTAAAATCATTTCCCAACCGTACAACAAATTATAGAACAAAATTTAATATTAATAAGCAAGCAAGTGAAAAGTAGTAAATTTTTTTCATAGAATATGATCAACACCCATATTCAAACTAACAAGTAGTCTCGAGATCGTCTACAACAGTGGTCGCCAACCTCTCAATGTGTTGAGCTACTTTGTTAATTTTTGAATAAACAGCGAGCTACCCACACGGAAGCCACGTAACGCAACGTTAATGAAATAATCCACAGTTAATTTATCAGTATATGTATTTATTTTACTATTTAACTGGTAATACATAGGTACTAATAATAAACTAATAACAAAATAACTAATATTACTAGTACGTACTTGTTCATAGCTACATTCCTACCTACCAAACGAAGGTGTTTGAAAAGTAAACACAAACTTTTATCCAGCCACAACGGCATGTCACGTAAGATTTAAAAATAGTTAATAATAACAACAAAAAAGTAACGCACTATCATGAACATAAATATTGAAAAATAAAAAAGCACGTTCAATGAGAAGGCTAACACTCAGACTCATCGATAATTTTTTTAATGTTTGCAGTATAATTTGATACAGCCATTCGAATACAATTATCCAAATGTTCATCTGTAAGTCGATTGCGATATTTGTTCTTAGTAAACTTCATATTGGAAAAAGAAGATTCACACAAATAGGTTGAACTGAATAATGCTTTCACTTTCAAGGCAACACGGCATAGAACTGAATATTTGTCTTTACTTACAATAGGCCAGATACATTTGGTACTTGAGACTAACGATTTTAAGGCTAAATCATTTTGAAACTCAATTACTTCCATTTCTGTTGCAGCGATGTCTTCGCCAAAGTTCTGCATAACACAAGTTGCAAACTGTTGGATATCAATTTCCATAAAGGGTGAAACAACAAACTGCGCTACTAAAGCCATTTCGTTGAAATCCTTAAAACTATTTTTGAAGTTATTCTTCAGGGTAGAAACTATTTCTACATGATATTTGCTGTCATAGGGTTCTAATGGATTTTGAGATATTTTTTCTGAAAGAATAGGAAAATGCTTGGCATCGCTGTTAATTAGGTTTTGTTCCCAAAACTCCAGCTTTTTGATAAATGCTTTTATATCAGAAATCATTCCCGCTAGTTCTTTGTCTCTCCCCGGAAGCTGCAAATTAAGTTCGTTTAATTTCTCTGTAATGTCCACGAGAAAACCAAAATCTCTAAGCCAGATTGAATTTTCTAGTTCCGGAGTCGGTTCATCGCGTTGTTTGAAAAATTGAACTATGCCAGATAGGACATCATTAAAACGTTTCAGCACCCGTCCTCTACTTAACCATCGGACTTCAGAGTGAAGGAGTAGGTCCCCGTATTGACAGTCAACTTCATTGGCCAAGGTTTTGAATAATCTTCTTTGTAACGCTTGAGCTCTAATCTTGTTCACAATTTTTACCACCAGTTTCATAACGTTAGTTTCAGGAAATTTCCACATAATGCTTACTGATGGATAATGCAGTGGTAACAGAGAAATTGCGGAAAAGTTTCATCTTTACGACATAACGCCACCAGACCCTTATCACAACCCACCATAGCTGGAGCGCCATCGGTTGTCAAGCCTACCATTTTCGATATTGAAATTTTCTCGGAAGAAATAATATTTTTTAAATGAGAAAACAACTCCTGTCCAGTAGTGTGTCCTTTCAGTGGTATAACTTCAAAAGATCTTCTTTAATCGTAAAATCACTAAAAACCATCCTAACGAACACGGCCATCTGGGAAGTGTCAACGACATCTGTTGATTTATTATTGAAGTGAAAAATAAACACAGTTATCTAAGTCAGTTCTTAACTGTAAAAAAATATCATTGCTCATTACTTCTACACGTCTCATCACTGTATTAGCAGAAAGTTGCATAGATTTTATAGCTGAAACTATCTCGTCTTTATTTCTAGAGTTGGCAAATAACGAATCAGCAGCTTCTGAAAACGCCTGTTTTATCATTTCCCCATCTTCATAAGGTTTCTTTTTTTGTGCAATTATCTGCTTCAGTTGCAGCCTTATTTTTGTCGACTGTTCTTAAAAATATTGATTGTTGTCCAATTAACTGCTTTTTTAACTGTTTCAGTTTCTCCTTTCTGGCGGCAGAATGTAGTGGAAATGATTTTTCAAAATTAGAATGTACAGTTTTATGATGTCTCTCAATATTTCCTTTTTTAGCAACGGAGACCGAAGTATTACATAACAAACACACATTTTAACTTCTGTAAAAAAGTATTGTTCTTCCCATTCCGAATGAAAGTGGTATGTCTTTAACTTCTTACAACTGCTTGCCATAATATTATTTTTTGTTGTTCTCTACTAACCCAACCGCTGGACGTTGGTTACGCGTTCAGTTTTAAACTAAGCGCAATGTCGCCGCGCCGTGCGTATTTATCCCGTTGAAAGCATCCTGATCGTTCTCGAACACTAACGCGCTGGTCCAGCTGGTCGGTTCTAGCCGATTCTAGCTTGATGGCGTCAGCGGCAGATCGCTCACCGCAACGTTGCCGCTGTTTATGTTTATGTTATGACAATTAGATTTTTTTGTGGAATTTTCGGAAGCTTCTCTCATTTTTGCAGTTTGTATTTTTCAAATTAAAATCGTTGTGAGAGCTACCAGAATTGCCTCCGCGAGCTACCGGTAGCTCGCGATCGACAGGTTGGCGACCACTGGTCTACAACTATACTAGGGTTTCAAAATAATAGTCGGTAGGAACATTTCAGGAATGTGTATAGTCTAGAGAAGAAAGGGGTGCAGTAATTTGATTTGTAAAATGCAGTACAGGTTTAAGAGGTACACATTTTATTTATACCTCATCCTTCAATGCTTATTTGTAGTTAAAATAAAAATTTTAATATATTTAATCGGCTAATACGTTTTCGTCTAGATTTAATCATGTTTCCATGGTTTTTACTGTAATAAACCTTTTCTTTTGACAGATAAGTTAGACTTTATTTATTCATGTTCATATAGTTTGTATTTTAATTGATTCGGAATTTTGTATTAGTACATATTATAATTTTACAGTGATATAAGAATGGCGAGTGCATTGAAAAATATTGCAAGCACAAGTACGTTTAAACGACCTAGTGGACATAATGCATTATCTATAAAAGAAAAAAATATCGTACTTAATGTATTTATAACCTTCAAAAAGACCACTAACTTTCAGACCCCATCAAATTGAGAATTAATAAAAATGTCATTCGATATGTAACTGGCAAATTAATAATCTAACTGTCAGATTTAACTTAATTGTTATATTGGCTAACAACGGTTTCTTAGGTATTTTTGTTTTAAAATTATGGTGGAAATTAATACCTTGATCACAGAAAAGAAAGTAATCGTCGGAACTTTGAAGTTGAAGGGATAGAAACATTTTACCTTGAGTTCCACCACAGAGATGCTCTGAAAAAACGTAATTATTCACAGTACACGCAAACGTAGCTATTCACTGAACCTACACTGCGAAAACTACATTTCTCTTTTACATAATTAGTTGTCATATTTTATGAAAATTTGCATGAATGCATTTGAAACTATTCTCGATTTAAGAAAATTATTTTTTGATTTGTAGCACTTCCGACAGAGGTTTTAAAAATAAAAATCATAAATTTTTAAACAATAGTTTATTTTACCCTGTCATAATGAACTATTAATATTGTGCCACAAATCTCACTAGTCATTTATAATCCATAAGTATAAATCAAATGGGATAATTGTTAAAAAATCATTAGCTAAAGCGTATTTTAGGGATTTTATGAATAAAAAAAAAAAGAAAAATAAAATAACGTTTATTTATGCAATTGATAAGTTTAAAATATAGTGCATGTATTTTATTGAAATAGAATTGTTTGAAAATTAAAATTGTTTACACAGATTTATAGAGCAAGCCGAAGTTATAATACATAGATTAGTAGCTTTATTAAAATAGCTATATCCCAATATACAACAAAAATATAGAATCATTATATAAACGGTACTTATAAAAATATTAAATAATAAGTAATTATTTTTCTTCTTTTTGCACCAAACAAACGTTTTCTCAACGTTGCTATCTTCAGTCGCATTCTCTGCTTTCTTGGAGTGTTTGATGATAACACATTACGCGTTTGAATTTGTGCTGTTACACAAGGTAGAGAAAGAGATGGTTGACTATGCACTTGTTCAATAAATTCTACTTCTGCTGAAGTTGAGGATAGGCACAAGTTGTCTTTGCCTTCTTCGCCATTAACAACAAATTCCTCTAAAAAAAGAAAGAGAAACCAAATTTTTATTAGATCAACTTAGTGTCAAGAAAGTGCATCATTTGCCAGAATTGAATGTTTGAGTCACACTTTTTAGCCAGAGGAAATTTAAAATAATTTTATAAAATGTGAATATATTTCTGTGCCTAGGAGCTAAACTACACTGTCCTTCTAGTCAACTTTTTGGTACAGCAGATTGAATGTTGTTAAATTATTAAATTTCAACTAGATATGCATTTAGACACCCATTTATTGTCAAAATATTTATATTTTTTACTAACCTAACTACTAAAACTACTTTATTTTATTTTGCATAAGTTGTTGTATGTCGACATAGTGCAGTTTACCTCCAGTTCTACAAAATGGAATGTATGGGTTGATATTCTAAGATTATTAGTACTTAATATTTTATTTTTTAAACTACTAAATCTAATGTAAAAAATGACAAGACGAGTAGCAAACTTTTTGTAACATTTAACTATCAATTGTATTTATTTACCTTTCAAAACTGTGACTCTTTTTGTAGGTTCTGAATGGGGAAATACTGTTGGAAATGCATTTGCAAATAATCGTTTTCTTGTTCCTGACTGATAAACGAATTTATCCTGGAAGTGTAGTTCACAAATTTTGTAATTTTTACTCAAGTGTTCAACACCCTTTTCCCAATAAGTTCTCTCTATTTGCTGCCTTAAGCGACAATTCAAGTCTGAAAAATACATACAATCATTGTACTACCATGTTATGGCAAGATCAATTCCTATTTCACCCTCAAGGTTTCATACCTACCTCACTGGATCTTTCACAAGAGTGAACAATCCTTCTTTGTCACCTGTTCTTGAGGCACATCCACGATAAATACAAGTATATCCTCCTCCTCTTTGACGCGGCATTGTTTATAAACCTAATCTTAATACGTACAATGAAGTCTTAAATTAACAACTCCACAATTAAAAATATCAACAAAAACTAAAAATAAACCACTAAAAAAACGTAAAAGTTATCAGAATATTCGCTAAAAACAACCAAAAATCCAAAACGACAAATAAAGACACGACAGGAAAAAAATATTGATTTTCTAACAGTGACAGCTGTTGCCATGAAACTATAATATTTCATTTACTTGAAGTATTTAATTATTACATTGAATATTAAAAATCAATGAAGGATGTTATGAAAAATGCTTGAACAAATGTTATTAGTATCCTCTTATAAAAAATTTAAATTAATGTGGAATATATTAGTCTGGCTTTAATTTTTAAAGTGATTAAAGCATCCAAGCCTTTCTCAACACATCAAGGTTACATTCCTAGAAAAAGAAAATAGAAACAAAACTATGTTAATTTCTAAAATGTGAACGTGAACCAACAGATACATGGTTATATCAAAACTATCATCTGCACTGGACATGTCATTCAGGTATATAATGCAAGAATGAGCCGGAAATATTTGATGGTTATTTTCAATTTTGGTAAGACGGAGAACGCAATTGAAGCATAGTTCTTAAAATGAACAAACTACCAACAACTTCTATTATAACATCTAAAATGCAAGATTATTTTTTTTTTTTACCTTCAATTTTGATATAACTCCAAATTAATTCTATGGCATTTAATGTACGATAATACGGTGGTAAATGTATTACAGTCTGAACGAATGCCGTAGCCATCTAATCTACAGCATGCTTAGGTTTGAGATTTAAGCCTTTCAATATGGCAAGAAAATACTTTTTTAAACTGTAGGTGGATATGTGGATAGGTGGATTTTGTCCAAAAACGCGGAAACTACCTGTTTTCGAGCTTTCGCTTTTGGAATTTCACTAGTTTGACAAGAGTGGAAAGGTGCATTATCCATTAGTATAACAGCATTTGGTGGCAAATTAGGAATTAACTTTTCACCAAACCATTTCTCGAACAAGGTAAATGTCATAATATTGGTAATAATCTGATAATAACAAGCAATTCGACATAAATCCGTTTTCATTACCGGAATGTAATATTATATGTTTTTCTCTATTTGGAGAAGCATTCACAGAACATTTAGCAAATTGATCACTCCATCCTTTTCTCACAATATCTTGAGTGTTGTACCAAGTCTCATCAATATACAGTATGAATCTGTCTTGTCGAGCTTCATTTACTCTAGTGACGTATTCATTACGTAAAATCATAATTCTTTAAGATTCCCTAATATCCTGTCTTCTATTTAAATAAGGATATCTAAAACTCAAAGAATAGAGCACTTTTCTAGTGGTTTTGTCAGATTTGTAAGGGAAACCGGGAAACAACTTTATTTAATTTTTAATCTTTTAAAAATACGGCACGATATTATAAAAATAAAAAATACAAACCTTTCTTCTAATATTCTTCATCATGCAGTGATCTAGACTAACTAGAGTTCTTTGATTCCACTTTTTTCTTGGCTCGTAATAACTTTTCTAATCGAAGGTTTTGAAATTTTTGTCAAATGTGTATTCTTTCTATGACACCGTAATTAGATCTATTATTTTCCAATTTTAATTGATGGTACATATTTCGAATAATTTTTTGAGTTGAGGGTGACATCTAGATACCAAATTTTTGGTTAATATCATCCCCCTCGTCCTCTTCCTTCCATTCTTCGTTACTCTCAGAAGAAACTTTGATGGGTTCTGCATAGAATTATGTAGGGTCACTTGGGGTAAGAGCGCGTTGTTTGGGGTTAAGGTATTAATAAAAATCTAAATAATAACACGAAAATATTCAATTTTACTATAACATTTATCCTATGTTTACGGGATCAACAAAAATTTAAAAAATATATTACTAAAATTTATTAAAAATGCCAATTGTTTGTTTTATTTAATTGTGCCATAAACGTTGAAATGGTAATCTTAATAAAGTCTCATCTATTTACTAGTTATTAATTAATATAAATTTATTCAGCTTGTCACTTTTTTAATAAAGTATTCTCGTACAGGTTTTATATTTTTTACATTTTCTCAGTATATAATAATATTTGACCCCTCGTTCTAAGCCAAATCTTAACATTTTCCACTAAAGAATTTGCAGGTAAAATATAACCTTTTCTTTGTGAATCACCCTGTATAGGTTAACAATAATTTAAACTACCAACGCCCACTTTGAACTGTTTAAATTTTACAATTTATATATTTAAATATCAATTTAGTTTCTTTGAGGTGTAACTAATCCTATTTATTTAAAAAATAGTCAATCAAAATTATAATTATTTACATGCCTTCAGGGATTACATTATTTTCATCACTTTCAAAGGGCCCCCAAATAGCCATTTTTTTTATAAACCAAAAATCCAAACAGAAATGTGAATACAACACTGGATAAACAAATATTGTCCATATGTGCTCAGTCAACATGACGATAACGCATAGAAGCATGCCAAATAACCAATTAGAACATGAGTTGAACAAAATCACAGAATTACTATTGGATATCCCAGTCCATGTTGACCGGCTTTCCTTACAGGTTATCTTGGAGACGCTAAAATTAAGGTGTTATAGGAGGTTATAATTAATCGAGCCGACAGATTCTGATCGTACAGCGTTGCCAGGCATAAAATATTTATTGGATATTCGGTTCCAGCATATTTGCTTGAAAGGTACTATGCGTTTAACACAGTCGTTTAGCTGTAATAGAATTGATTGCACCATTTTATTTTTGCAGTATGGCAACTGTGTTTTCTAAGCTGAAGGTCGGCGGTGTCTTTGAAAATTATGTATAAATATATTAATAATACTGATATTTAATTGTGGAATAGTAAAATTTATCTGTGCCGTCTACTATAATAGAGTACTTCTCCACTTAGTACCATGTAATATATTTCTTACCAACACATTTTATGCAGAAGTACCTTAATTTAATTAGATATTAAACATTTAACATCTGGGATTTCTCTAACACATTGCTTTATTTCGTTTTAGTTTAAGTTTTTTTTTTTTTATTTTAAACCCTTAAATTAATTTTTCTTTTCAAGGCCTGAAATTTTGGATATTTTGATACGTCCACCTGGTGTTAAATATATCAAATGGATTTAAAAATTATGTTCATTTTTTTTGATAATTCATCAAAATAAACGATTAATACATTTTCTGAAAAGCTGCTTGTCGTATTTTTATCTCTCCAATCCATAAATTGAGTGTAAAATTCTTCGTATGCCTCTGCGGATTTCGAGGATAATAAATTATTGTTTGCGGCTCTTGGGATCTGTTCCACAAATTTTGGAGGCGTTAGATTCTCCATTTCATTTTTACCGACTTTATGTACAAAAATATAAATTTTAGGAATTTACTTTGTAAACAGTAATACCTAGTGATAAATGTGATACATTTTAGATCTATCAGATGTTTATGGCAATATTTGATATTGACCAAAGACTCGTATTACTGTGAAATTGCATTTCTATTGGCTATAATCTTGTATCTTAATAAAAATATACATCAAAATGAATTTCAATAAACATTAAAATACAGATAATGAATGTCTAATGAATTAGTTAAAATATGCGATTAGAAAAAAATATATATTTCTTATAAACTTATTTACAACCTGGTACAGATTCGCAAATAAAATAAACTTCATTCAGACAGCCTTCATCGTTCCATAGAAAACCTTTGCCTTCCCAATATTTCACTTCTATGCAATTTTCAGATGAATCATAATTATCAGGTTGGTCAGGATACCAGTTTGTGTAGGAAATTTTTTTCCCTGTCGATAACCATACCCAGGTTTTTCCATCACCAAAATTTGAGCCTGATGTCCAAAATTGATCGTTAATTAAACCTAAAAAAAAAAATTAAACTGAAAAGACCCGAAAGTAGTGTTTTGCAGATCGAGATAAGCAGATTCCAGCGCGAGCAGTAGGCGAGACATGGAAGCGTCCTACTTAAGAGTCATCTTTTAATCGATCCCTTACTTAAAATTATCAGAGGGTTGCGGGCCGTTGCAAATTTCACACTTGACGAAGGCGGGTCAATAGACTGTTTATCTATTTGTTTTGTTGTCAATAGATTTCAGTGCAAAAGGCGCCACATTACGGTTAGAAAAATGCTACTTGCAGAGGGTCAGGATGTGTGCGATTAATGACTTAGTTTTTGACTTTTTTGAAAAAAGAACATTTTAGGACAAAGTTAAAGATTTGCAGCAGGAATATATAGAATTAGATTTTCTAAATTATTTCTTATAATGACATGATTAGCGCCTTAAAATACGTAATATTGTCGCCTGTTTCTATCTTGAATAATAGCAATGTTTAAAAAAATAATCATTTTGATCTTATACGTCCCTAGAAATACGTTTTCTTTCATCAACTGCACAAGCAGTTTTAAGTAATTTTGAAAAATAAAGTTGTAATTACGTACGAGCTTAACCGCTGTTTTTGGCTTAAAAATTCAGGAGGAGGATGGTCCTTAACACTAATTTTCGGTCGCGTGACGTTTTTTGAATATTTATGTTAAATTTACATTTTTGCTGCTTCCAAAATTTCTTCTGGAATTTCATTCAAATAATTACAAGCAAAAGGTAAGTAATTAGTTTTGTTAATATTTATCGTTAATAATTTATGTTCTAACCAATTTTTTATGTTACAGAAATCAGTCTCAACATATAATTTAAGATTATCCCAGGTATCCGATTCATAAAATATTGCATTATCATCTGCAAATCCTAAAATATCACCATAACTTCTAAGTGAGAATAAATTATTAACATAAATATTAAAAAGAATTGGACAGTGCCCTGAGGTACACCACATTCAACCGTTTCATAATTACTAACATTATCATCTATTCTCACGGCTTGACTTCTCTTAGTAAGATAGCTTTTAAAAAACTTTAAGCAATTGTCCCTTATTCCTAAGTCTTCCAAAGATTGTAAAAGTAAGTTATGGCTGACTGTGTCAAACGCTTTGGATAGGTCTATAAAGACACACAAACATGGCTTACTTTAATTAATTGCTCGAATTATTTTAGATGTTAAGGACAATATTGCATCCTGCGTTGACGTTTTTTTTTTTTTAGTAGCTATCAGATAGTATGTTAAATTTGTTTGAGTAAGATGTTAAACGGTTTTTAATAATTTTTTCAAATATTTTTGAAATATGTGTTAAAGAAATTGGTCGATAATTATTTACATCTGAAACACCTCCTTGTTTGGAAGTAGGATAATTATTGATTTTCAGTCGGATATACTCCTTTTTTAATGCATTCGTTAAAAATATGTTTTAATGGTTTAGTGATAAAATTGGTTATCAATTTAATTGTTTCAGTTTTTATGATACTTAACAGGGCGAGCATGCAAGTTTCATGCTAGTATGCGAGCCCTGTAAATACACTTTCCGAGTGTGGCGCGTACAATATTTTTTGTGCTGCCACCAATAATTTGACAATAATATAGGAACAAAATATTTATTTTTCAAAATTTATAACAAAACTTAAATCATTTATTATGGATGAAGTGACTGATGAATTTTAAAAAAACTTGAAGGACAAGTTGCTAGATGGATAGAAAGACTGCAACAATACAACTTCAAGATATTGCATCGAAGGGGACGTCTCCATAGCAACGCGGACATTCTTTCCAGGCGACCGTGTTTAGAACGACAATGCCGGTACTGTAAAAGGCTTGAAGAACAAGAGGCGCTGGTTGAAGAAGTTAGTCTTCGGGCGACCACTATCAAGCCAGAGGATGACGAAGACAGAATCACCATTGAAAGCCTAAGAAAGGCACAGAAGAAAGACAATGACTTCAAGATTGTCCTAGAATGGCTCAAAAATGGAGTCAGACCTACATGGCAAGAGATAGCCAACTATAGTAAAACCATTAAAGGGTACTGGACTCAGTGGGATTCCTTGTATCTCCACGATGGCCTATTACACCGGAATTGGGAGAGCCCCGATGAAGTAGTTGTAGTCCGCCAAGTGATACTGCCAAAATCTGCTTCATAGCAGCCGTTCAGGAGGACACTTTGGTACTAAAAGGACACTTGCACGAGTTCGGGAAAGATTTTATTAAGTCAATTGTCGACGGGATGTAGAAGGAATGAGACCTTTGTAATATCAGAATAGGACCTAAAACAAGAAGTCGAGGTAAAATGGCACAATACCTTTTCGGAGAGCCTTTCGAACGAATCGCCATAGATATCCTCGGAACACTTCCCTTAACAGAAAAGGGAAACATATACTTAATGGTTGTTATGGACTATTTTTAAAAGTTGCCTGAAATAGTGCCTATTCCTAATCAGGAAGCGACGACAGTAGCGAGACACGGAATCCCCTTGGAATCCCTTGGAATCCCTTTGGAATTAGATTCTGACCAAGGACGAAATTTTGAATCCAAATTATGGCAAGAATTGATGAAACTGTTAGGTGTCAGGAAAACCCACATTCCGACGAAATGGTAGAAAGACATAACAGAACGATATGCCAGTATCTTTCAATGTTTTTCTCTGATAATCAAAAGGACTGGGACACTTTAATTCCTCTATTTCTTCTAGCCTACCGAAGTTCTGAACATGAAAGAAACTACCAGTAATACTCCATCCATGATGATTACTGGAATGGAAATAAAACTTACCCACGATCATCTTTTTGAAAGGCAACCTCCTGGTGAAAAAAAGAGCCGTACACCTCCCAAGTACATACAGAACCTAAGAAAAAGATTAGAGAAGGTACACGAATTCGATCGGCAACGTTTGAAACTTAGTTATGATAAAGCAAAAGCCAGAATCGACATGCATGCCACAGGGACACATTTTGAGAGAAGCGATCCAGTATGGATGTACAATCCCAAGCGCCGTAAATGACTTTGTTAGAAACTGCAACGGAACTGGAAAGGCCCCTACACCGTTCTCAAGAAAATTAACGATCTGATCTACCGCATTCAGTCGTCAGCGGGAAGTAAACCCAAGATAGTTCACGTTGAAAAATTAGCGCAATATCGTGGTCCAGATCCTCCCCGTTGGCTCGAACCAGGTCCCAGTAATCAAGTTATTCGGGGCGAATAACTAGATAAGAGGGAGCAATGTTACGCAGCACCCTGCAGTAACCTGCGGCTATTATAGGAAACGTACAGAGAAAAAGAAGTGAAATGTTACTTAGTCCAGAAATGTCATTACTCGTCAATAATATTCTAGATGACAGTTCGAGAAGGTTCGAGAAGGGTCAAGCAAGCTATATAAGGATGATCCTGACGTCAGTTTTCAGTTTTATGATAGACGTTACTTGCTAATGTTATCAGTTGTATAATTGTTGTTAATGAAATTAATTGCGATATACCAAAAACATGTGTAACATTATAATTTTATTTTAACGTAGTTATTAATATTTGTAAAACCCGGTTGACAATAAAAATAATGTATATTAGTAACATTAATTTCAGTGTTATTATATTGCAACATTTTGTGAGGTAAGATACAATCAGTTATTTTTGTCACAACAATTTTATAAACTTTTGCTTACCTACTAGCTACTGATAAAGGGTTATTGCCCTCATTAAAAATGAATCGTGCTAACAAATGAAGTCAATTTCTAATAATTTTTCGTCTTTTAAAACTTACCAAAATTAAGTACAACAATACAAAAATTTTAATTCGGCATTGAACATCTCCCTACTCCTTCCGCCGAGTTATGTGGTTTTGGCAAAATTCGCGCAGCGACAAATGATTTCTATGTTACTTCTACCCTTTCTAACCTCTTAGCTGACAATATAGTCACAATTGACTCAGACACTAATAGTAAAATAACTGTTTACATATTTCACATGATATTGATTACGTACAAGCCAAATAAAGGTATAAAGGACCATATTAATATTAATCTTACCATTATCTACAATGAATTTTGCAATTCTATCTGATTCCTCTCTACTGTTAATGCTTAACAACTGCATCTTTTGCTGTCTACAGTACTGCCACGCACCATAAAAGTTTGCCTAAAAATTTTAATTAAAGCTACTTTAAATAATAATAATAAAAACATAAATCAGCTCGTGAAAAAAGTTTCTTTGTAGGAAAAATGAAAACTATTGTTTGTGACGATACGGATTATTGATAGCACAGATAAATATATAAAGAATATTTTTTAAATGGGATAAAATTGTTGAATTAAATATATAAAAGAATATGTCGAAAAATAAAAAAATATTGTAATTTATTTTAAATTTTGTGATTTTCTTACCTTTAAAACAGTGCCCACATAATAAGTTTTCCCTTCATATGTAAACCAATTTGGGGGCAATTTGTTATTTTTTAACACAGGCGATACATACTCGGTTGCACTTTGACCCTCATCAAAATAATAAAAAATGCTTACAAAGAAAACCAAAAATAAAACCTTGCTAGCCATCTCATTTAACTAAAACGAGATTTTAGTAATAAATTGTACTACTATTGCCTAACCTCTAAATCGCAATGAAGAATTTATTTATTAGCATTGGGATGATGGAAATTCCAACTTATCGAGAAAGAGATAGAACATATTATCTGAGTTTGTTTAATATTTCTAATTAAAAATATTTAAATTGGATTTCAAAAACAAAAAACTTGTATCTTAAAGATATTTATTATTCCATTGACAATATTATAAAATATTTACGAGGTTGTGAAAAAGTACGTTTCCTTTTAAAACCATATAACTATTATTTTGAGATTTTGGTGTTAAATCGAATTCGGGAAAGAATGTAAAATGATTTAAATGTTTTTTTAAAAGGGAACAAAGAAACTTTTTTACAAGTTAGAATAAAAGTTACAAAAAAATTAAAACACATCATATTTGGAGAATTGAAGCAAAACTTGTGTGGGGGAAGGAAAACTGACCAAATCAATACTGCCAAAAGAATAAAAAATCTTTAAGACCCAATATCTTCATGACTAGATTTTCTTTCTTATCGGGTTTTCGCTCTGGATCCTCGTTTCGCTTATCTATATTCACTTTCAATAAATAACAACTGAAATAAAATCTTTTAAATAATTTGACATTAAGGAGTGACAGTAAAACAAAAAAAAATATTTTTTCACATTGTGGTATATTTTCTTAACGTACTACCTTATGTATACTTGTTTATTGTATCTATGTTAATGTCAATTTTGTCATGCATAATTTTGCTTATTAAAGCTTATTAAAGTAGTTTTAATTATAACAATTTAATAAGCAAAATGGATAAACTTCTGAGACGAGAGAGATTCGATACAGACCAAAACTCCCCCAAACTGCTTAAGAATGGACTCATTGGAAAAACAACTTTTCACAATTTTATTTCATCTGTTGAAAAACTTGATGATGTGGGAAAACTTAAACTGCAGGTAAATTATATAAGCTACAATACCTATGAATATATATCAGACTGCTCCACATATTCAGAAGCTTTAAATATTCTAGATCTAATGTTAATCAAGCCCAAAAATGAAATATTCGCTAGGCATTGTCTTACGTCTCGGAAACAACAACCAGAGGAGACAGTTGATCATTATTTACAAGTCTTGAAGCAATTAAGGACTGCAACATTAAGAGTCTTTCATCCCATGAGTATCGAGACGACTACATAAGGGGGATTCTTTTATTAGCGATTAAGATCATCCCAAATTCGCCAGCGTCTACTAGAAAATAATACTCTAATCCTTCAAGATGCCATTAATCAAGCTCAGTCACTTGAATCTACATAGAAGAATTCAGAGGCATATTCCCATTCATCGTCAAATTTGGTCAATTCATTGATATCAGTAAACGTAGAAAGGCAAGAAGGAATTGAAGAACAAGTTTCTTCTGCTGTAACAAAAACATATAAATGGTGTTTTTGTGGGAACACAAAGCCACACTCGCGTACCTTCTGCCCTGCCAAAGATTCAATTTGTAACGAATGTGGAAAAAGGGGACACTTTATGTCAAAGTAAAATAAAATTTAAACCTTCAACCTCAATCTTGCCCTTTTTGAAACTTCTCGTATCTGCTCCTGTAAGTTTATCCAAATGCATTGTTGAAATTAAAATAAATAACGTTACTGCCAACGTCTTAATAGATACAGGCAGTTCAGAGACGTTTGTTAACAAACATTTTATTTATTCTGTTAATATACCTATTGTTCTCAGTAGAGGATATATATTGATGGCATCCACTATATTACAGTCACCAATAACTGGCCTCTGCCTTGTAGAATTAGAAGTCAAAAACCATAAATATAAAAATTAAGATTATCAGTGCTTCAAGAATTATGCGCCCACGTTATAATTGGTCACGATATACTTAGACAGCATTCTGCCATAGAAGTAATTTTTGAAGGTGCGAAATCCCCTTTCATAATCGGTACGTCTCCGATCATTTGTAGTTTAGCTTCTTTAAATATAGAACCACCAGCAAATTTTTCAGTCAACTGCAGACTTATAGCTACTAAGTATAGACGATTTTCAGCCAAAGATTTAAAATTAATTACCACTGAAATTAAAAAACTTCTTTCGAATAACATAATAGAAGAAAGTAATTCGCCCTAGCGTGCACAAGTTTTAATAACAAAAACTGAAACACAAGAAACGAATGGAGGTAGATTTCTCCCAAACTATCAACAGATTCGCCTATCTAGTTGCGTATCCTCTACCCAATATAGAAGATATAGTCCGTACTGTTGTATAATTTCAAGTATTTAGTACAATTGATCAACAAAGTGCATATCACTAGGTACCAATCCGAGAAAATGAGATTTTTACTGCTTTTGAGGCAAATGGTAAATTGTATTACACCTGTTTTCAGCGCATTATAGATAATAACATCAAATCTAAAAATCTAAAAGATTTATTTGCATATTTAGACAATATAAGAGTTTGCGGTAATGACCAAATTGAACATGATGAAAAATTGAAGAACTTTTTAATTGTACCAAAAAATTACAACTTAACAATAAACCAGAATAAAAGTTTCTATTCTATAAAATCAATCAATCTTCTTGGACATCTTATTGAAAACAGAACCCTAAAACCTGACCCCACTAGACTGGAACCATTGTTAAAACTTCCTCTGCTCTCTAACTCTCAATCTTTAAAAAAAGCTGTTTTATCATTACTAGAAGTGGATACCTCAGTTTTTAGAGAAAATCCATAAACTAGTCTCTTGTAAAATATTTCCTTTGCTAGAATCAGTAGCTCGTGAATTTGAAAGAATAAAAGAAGATATTGCAAAGTCTGCTGTCAGTACTATTGAAGATGATATTTCTTTTGTTGTTGACATAGATGCCTCAGAACATTCTATTGCTGCATCCTTGAGCCAAGCTAGAAGGCCCATTGCATTATTCTCCAGGACACTGACAAATAGTGAACAAAACCATTCATCAGTAGAAAAAGAAGCTTAATGTATTGTTGAAGCGCTTAAAAAATGGCGTCACTTTTTGATTGGTAAACATTTTCAGCTCATTACTGACCAAAAATCAGTATCATTTATGTTCAATATGCGACACCTTAGCAAGATTAAGAATAAAAAGATTCTTAGATGACGTTTGGAACTGGCTTCTTATAGCTTCGATATAGTATATAGACCCGGAGGACAAAATGTAGTACCTGATACGCTCACTCGAGTTTGTGGCTCAACCAGAGATAAAACTTTATTTTATTTGCACCAAGCTTTGTGCCATTCTGGTGTTACAAGAATAACACATTGGATAAGGTCTCGAAATATGCCCTATTCAGTGGAAGACGTGCGTTCTATAACGGCCGCTTGTCCAGTGTGTGCACAGCTTGAACCAAAATTTTTAAAATATCACGGAATACTTATAAAAGCTACTTCTACGTTTGAAAGAATTTCTTTGGATTTTAAAGGCCCGCTCCCTACAAATACTAAAAACAAATATATCCTTACAATCTTTGATGAATTCTCTCCTTTCCCATTTGCTTATCCTTGTCTCGATATGATGTCAGATACTGTAATACAATTTCTTAGTAACTTATTCTCTATATTTGGAATGCCCGGGTATATTCACTCCGATCAAGGTTCGTCGTTCATGTTATATGAAATAAAAACATATTTACACTCTAGAGGAATACCCACCAGCAGGTCTACTCTGAATAATCCTGAAAAAAAATGGAAAACCGAATGACTCAATGGAATTATTTGGAAAACAGTTACTCTTGCTCTAAGATCACAAAATTTAAAAATACAAATGTGGGAACAAGTATTAAAAGAGGCTCTTTATTCAATATATGGTCTGTTCTTTGTACTGCTACGAATTGCACACCTCACGAATAAATGTTTCAATAATTCGACGAAATCGTCAAATGGGAGAACTATACCATCTTGGCTAACAATTCCAGGTAAAGTTTTTATGAAGAAGCATGTTAAATGTTCGAAATATGACCCATCCAATGAGGAAGTTGAACTAATTGAAGCCAACCCTGAATATGCGCGTGTTCGTCATATTGATGGAAGATTTATGGAAGAGAAGCCACAGTATTATTAAAGCATTTAGCACTCCGTGGAGATATATCTCTTTTTGATTCTCAAATTGGAGATAATTCTCTTTTGGATTCTTAAAATTTACCAGACTATAAATTTCAACAAAATAATACCCAAAATCATTCAGTAGAAAATGAAAAATGTCTTGAAATACCTCACCAAAATCTTCCTGAATCAAAAGATCTTATTGAACCTCAATTTAGTCAAAATTTCAACGAAAGTGCAATTGATTCCAATCTAACTAAAGAGGCCCTTACTCAGCGAAGTACAAGAATACGGCAAATGACAAAATATCTTGAAGATTATGTTCAAAAATGAACCTGGGAAGAATGTGGTGTACTACCCTATGTATACTTGTTTATTGTATATATTATTATGTTAATATTAATCACTGTCAATTTTGTCATGCTCAATTTTGCTTATTAAAGCCTATTTTCAAAAGGTAGTTTTAATTATAACACGCAGTTGACAGGCACATCCATTCATATAGTCTCATTTTACTATTCTGTAGCGCATAAAATAAGTTCCATAAAAAATTCATTGAATTTTAAAAACTTTAATATTTAAAATAGTTAGGTTGAAACAAAAATTCTGAAAATCAATAGGATTCCTAGTTAGAAGAAATTATCAAAGACAATCAAAACCGCAAGTTGATCAAAATTTTGGCTCTAGAATTATCGTGCCGGCATACACACGCACAGACGACAAGACGAAAAAGTGTTTTTTGAATTTTGGGACTTTAATAACACTGAACCCTAATAGTTGAATTGTATTTTACCCAAATTATTTCATAGTATCCAATGTCACCTTAGTCCCGTGTACAAGTTTGTATAAGTACTGTAGGTCCTGAAATTAACCTGTGATTGTCCAAAAAGCACCTGTCTTCTACCATTCAATGTTTGGCAGCTACACAGTATGTGTTTAGCTGTTTCTGGTTGCACAATAAGTCTCCATTATACACGCCGGTTTTATTCAGGTATCCCTTTACAGGCTTATGCCAAGTCATAAGCCTTATTATTGTTTTCAACTGATTACTATTCATAGAGAGTAGTTTTCTTGTTCTC